ATTTACCTCTGTCTGTCTGCATGTCTGTCCCTGTGTTAATATTTGCTACATTCAACTTATTCTTACATTATCTCCATTTGAATTCATTCATGTATGGAATTTACATGTATATTCTAAGACACGTACATCCATATTATATGTCACGTAGATGTATGTATGTATGTATGTATGTATGTATCGTGTTCATTGTTTATGTCTGTTTTCTTGAAATCTACAGCGTTTGTGACAGTTTCTACAAAAATTCCTCTCTTTCTCTCCTTCCCCCCCTTTACTCCCTCCTGCCCTCACTCCTTCCCTTACCCCCTCCCTCCTTCAATGCCTCTCCCTGCCTCCCATGCCCTTCTCCCCTTTCTCCACCCTCCCTCTCTCCCTCCCCCTGCCTCCCCTCCCTCTCTCCTCCCATGCCTCCTCCCTTCCCTCCTCCTCGTCCCATGCCTCCCCTCCCCCTTCCTTTCAGAACGGAGCAAGATAATAATAATGACTGATTTGCAACGTCAGAAGCAAACAACAAAGATTGGAGGAGATTGGTGAGTGGGAAGAGGGAAGGGGGATTGGTAAGGAAAGAATTGGAGTGGGGGATTGGTAGGGGACGCAAGTATGGAGTGGAGGATTGGTAGGGAAGCAAGTATGGAGTGGGGGATTGGTAGGGGACGCAAGTATGGAGTGGAGGATTGGTGGGGGACGCAAGTATGGAGTGGGGGATTGGTAGGGGACGCAAGTAAAGAGTGGGGGATTGGTAGTGGTAAGGAATGGAAGCGGGGGACTGTTGGGGTGTGTTGGGAGGGGATTGGTAGACGAGGAGAGTAGGGAAGGAGGGATTGATAGTTAAGAGGAGTAAGAGAGGGGGATTAACGGAGTGTGTAGTGGAGAGGGATTGGTGGGATGTGTAAGGGAGAGGGATTGGTAAGGGAAGAGGGGATTGTGGAAATGGGGGATGGAAGATTAAGTTCAATATCCCTTGATTACAGCCAAATACAATGGGTTTATTGTCGAAGGATAACACTATCTTCTCCCCGCAGGTGAGTAGAGAAATGTACATGTCTGTCTGTCTGTCTGTCTGTCTGTCTGTATGTATGTAATAATAATAAATAATAATTAACGGTTTATTAAGATAATATGGCAGCCTGAACGCTGAAAATATACAATGAACAGAGATGATAAGTTACATATGGTAAAATCGGGGAGTGGGTCACTTGATTGACAAAAGCTTTCAATACAGAAACATAAGAAACATAGAGTCAACATATAGATTAACTATAGATCTGGTACTGTGGGAGCTGGTCTTGTAGACATTCTTGTGACCTCACTGGATGGCCGTTGTACCTGGGTGCTAATCCGCTACCTCACTATAGCTGCAGATGAATCATGTGGTCCGGGTAGGTCCTTCAGCTCACACAGGAGATGGTTTTTTGTTCATGTGATATAGTTAAGAGTTCATAGTTCTTCGCCTGGGTGGAGTAGGGAGTCCTTGTTTCTCTCCTGAAGTAGTTTGGAGTCTTTCTTGGCTTCTCATCCAGTGTTGTTGGTGGCGAGTGTACCGCGGGCTGGGTGCGTCAGGTCAAGGTATCGGGTCAACATTGGCCGCTAAGTACTGGTTGTCGCTCAAACAGTTGTTTCTTCCTTTCGAGTTGAAATTGTCACTTTTGTATATCAGTTGTGGGTTGATCGTCAATCTTTGCACTGGGAGGATGTTGATAAATCCAGATGGGGAGGAGGAGATGGGGAAAGGGAGGGCCTGACAAACCAGACTGGCAACTGTCTCCATGGTCAAGAGACCACGGGCAGTGCCGACATCCTCACCCTGTGAAGACTGGAGACGGAGAGTATGTATGTATGTATGTATGTATGTATGTATGTATGTATGTATGTATGTATGAAACAACAAAGTTGAAACTCCACTCATATATAAAGGAAACTTGGCCGTCTCAACTTACAAAGACTCACACAATAAGAGAAGTCTCTCTCTCTGGCCATGACGCGAGATGCTGACGAGAGATATGTGAGGCTGATAAAGACGCCAGTAATAATGGCGAGAGTAGCAGTAAATAAAAGAAGAAGGGAAGTAAAATAGTAATGGTAGAGAGCTTTTGTTACTTATTAGAACAAGGCCAAAAATAAACGTGATGATGATGATGATAATAATAATAATAATAATAATCATAATAATAATCAGGTTACTACTACTAATAATAATAACAATAAAAATAATAATAATAAAATAATAATAGTAGCAATGATAATGATAATAATAATACCAATAATAATGACAGAAAAATAGAGAGATTGCAATATTGGTATGTATGTATGTATGTATTTATGTATGTATGTATGGATGTATGTATGTGTGTAGCTTAATCCTTTATCCAGTACAAGCAAAAGGATCAAATCACTTATCCATCTAAAGAAATATAAACAAAACGATGATTCAACGTAACATTTCTAAATCCTTTATCCAACATCAAAAAATATATAAAAGGGGAGGGATTGGAATCTTTCCTCACGTGAAAAATAGGATTCCATCCTTTATTCGGCGCGAACTAGAGAGATCAAATTCTATTCCTATGATCTTTTTTTTTATATGTGGGAATAGCGTCAGGGATTCCTATTAATTTCCATATATTTTGAGACGAAAGATTAAATTCCTTTTAATTTTTCTCCAAGTCGATTTTATCAAAAGCAAATAACATCTAAAGATTAGTAAATGACAGGGCGCCGTGACTGGGTTTACTAACACAGGGAACATTATAGCACAACCAATCCATCACAACACGTGTTTAATTGGTCGGTTAGGTCACGGTAATGATAACTGGTCTGGTGAGGTCTATGATTTCTGACTGTCAGTATGACGTATGACTGTCCTGCTGTCACCTACACCTGTAATTAAGGCAGGTAATATATTTATATACTACGTCTCTATTATTTATCTTATTATTTATTCATTGTATTCGTTTATTTATGTGATAATTATTCATTTATCTATTTGTTTATCACACTTATAATCAATTCATCAATTTTAATAATAAAAAAATCGAAACACAATTCATAAATTATAAGGTAGTAAGGAATCCACACACACACACACACACACACACACACACACGAACTGGTAAAATAAAATAAAATACTAAAAACACACGGGGGGAAAATGGCTTCATATAACCCCTGTGTAAACAAACAGAAGGTATTTAACAACCCCATAACAAGTGTAACTATTAGTTATGATGGATCACCACCCCTGTATATAGTGTGGTCGCGTGTTGCCTATCGTAGGAGTCACTAATATGGGGATATTTACCTTCTAGGGCTGTAAATCTGATAATATCTCTTGCGTTTTCGTGAAGGCGGATTCGCATTTGGATTTGATTTTTTTTTTAGAGGGGTAACTCCTTTGGTATGTAACTCTCTCTCCTCCTTTCTTATCCTTCTCACCCCGCCTGTCTCATTATTCTCTTCCATCTCCTCCTTTCCAGCCATCTCTTATCCCCTTTCCATCTCTATCCAACTATTCTCTCTCCTTTTTCTCCTTTCCCATTACCTCTCACCCCTTGCCCTCTCCCATCACACTCTCTCCCCTATTTTCCCTTCCCCCTTCCCTCTCTCACCCTCGCCCTCTCACACCTCCCGACTCTCTTCAATAACTAATGCTACACCGTTTTCTCCTTAATCACGGTTAGCTTACCAGTGTGGCCTTCCTCTCCACACTGTCAAAATAACATCGCCTTCTTGAAAACACACTTACTGTCATCTTTCAAGGGAGAATAACAGATACCTGAATTATAACCCAATATTTAATCCTGATCTAGCCTTAATACGACTTAAACCTAACCTAACCTAACCTAACCTGACCTAGCTTAACCAAACCTAAAGTAATCTAGCTTTAACCAGACTCAGCCTAACCTAACTTAACCTTACCTAATCTAAGAAATTATTTTATCAATTTTTTTCCGAATAGGTTACTTTTATATCCCAAAATAGTATTAATACTATTACTACACTACTACTACTATTGCTGCTACTACTACTACTACTACTACTACTAATAATAATAATAATAATAATACAAATAAAAACAAAATAAACAAAATAATATGATACCAATACTAAAAAAAATGATAAAAAAATAACTACAAATCTTAAGCAAACACAGAAACTTATACAAAAAAAAAATCCTAAACTTAATTTAACAAAAAGACAAAAATAAAAAAAATAAAATAACAAAATATTCCACAAAATATGCCCGAAGGTGGAGGCAGTGACCATTAATATAATTACTTTTTCATATCAAACTGCAAAAACAATTACAATGTATTGCTAAATTAAATTGGTAAAAATATTGGAAAGCACACTAATGGGATAAGCCTGGGCGTCTGTCTGTTGCCATGATGTAATGAAAATAGATTTTAATTTTCAATGTATACAGTTGGGATTTTACTTTGGTTGTACTGTATGTATGTATGTATGTATGTATGTATGTATGTATGTATGTATGTATGTATGGATTCCTTCACCTACACATCTCTAACTAGCAATAGAACCTTAACTAGCTAGAACTATCTTATTACTTCAACAAACAACACAAACTTATCCAGGATTTAAACGAGACCTCAGATAAACACACAAGTAAATATAACCACATACTTCTTCACTTCGCCTATAAGACACTCGGGCATTAACGATCGCCTGGCGTTAGTTGTATACCTCTAGATGACTTTCAATTCCAATGAAATGATGAAACTAGATGTCTCCCTTATACTAGAAATACTTAAACTAGCACAATATAATCGGTACTAGAACCCAGAACTTACCTGGTGCGCAGAACTGGAATTATAGATAAGTGGAAACATTATTTGTAAACAAGAGACACTTCAACTAGACACCAGAACTAGACACTTCAACTAGACACCAGAACTAGACACTTCAACTAGACACCAGAACTAGACACTTCAACTAACAATAGAACTAGTTACTTTATACTAGAACTAAAGCACCCAGGACTTACCTTGGAGGGACGCTGGGGAGCAGGAGGAGTTGTGTAGGTCTGGGTCATCCAACACTGGACCTGGGGTAGGGGGTTCGCTGCCACACCCAGGGGACCCCGGCTCCTGCTTCACCCTGGGGGAGAGAGAGAGAGACACGCGTTACTGGGGTGTACTGGGGTGTATTGAGGGTGTATTGGTAGAGATACAGTCGTTATTTGAGGTGTACTGGCAGAGGCATTCGTTACTGGGGTGTACTGGTGGTGATACAGTCGTTATTTGAGGTGTACTGGGAGAGACATTCGTTACTGGGGTGTACTGGTGAAGATATTTGAGGTGTACTGGGAGACACATACGCGTTACTGGGGTTTACTGGTGGAGATACCGGTTACCAGGAGAGATACGGAGGTATGTTTACTTTTCATCTTAACGAAAATTAACATAATCGTCGCAGAGAGAGAGAGAGAGAGAGAGAGAGAGAGAGAGAGAGAGAGAGAGAGAGAGAGAGAGAGAGAGAGAGAGAGAGAGTGTGTGTTTCATGTCGCCGTCAGTGAATAAGAGAGTAAGTCATTAACAAAATCACCTGTTTGCCATTAACTCAGGTTCACAAAATAGACGCAAAAATATCCCCCCAAAAGCCTTCCTTCACACTCGGGATTAATTTTTCACTTCCATAATGGTTTAAAAAAAAGATGATTTATTACCTTATTTGGTGATTATAATGTTTTCAAAATATCGTAAAAAAAAAAATTCAAAATACTTAATACCATTTTTGTGTTTAAATGGCTATGTGTTTATAAGAAATATCCATATTGTCAGATAATTACAAAGTGAATTTTTACATATAATTGTCATATAATAGATTCAACCGTATAATAATGTAGGTTAGGTTAGGTTAGGTATTAATAATCAAATTGGATTATACTACAAAATTCGTCTAAAATTTACCTGTCTTTATGGATGTCTTATTTATTTATTATTATTATTATTTTCATTCCATCGATTTTCTTTACAGTTTACATTTTCTTGTATGGAGAGGAATGTAATGTTAGTGATGGAAGGAAGACGTAAAGAAAGATAAAGAAAAATAAGAAGGAGAGAAGATTTTAAGAAAGATGTAAGAGAACTGGGAATAAGAAAAAGAGAGGCAGCACACGAGAAATAACTATGGAAGAGGAGGAATAAAGGAACACAAATGAGACGGAGAGATGATTATTGAGAAGAATAGAAGAATATGAAAGAAATAGGAATAAACATGAGAAGAAGCACATAACTGATAACTATGGAAAAGGTAGACACAAAAGGTGAATTTCATTATATATTACACTGATATAAAAAAAAATAAATAAATAAATTACCATCTCTTATAATAAATGACAACTTATTAAAAGGATTACATATACGTTAAAACAATTTTCTATCCTAAATCGTATAATTACCAACTTGGAAATATTTCTGATCAACTCATGAAAATAAAATCAAAGAAGGGAAAAAAAATATCCATTGAATCATCTTTTAAAAATATATCACCTTATTGAAAAAAAAATATATATCGAATGCCATAAATTATGTAGTATTTTTTTTAACTTAGTAATATATAGTGTGTTAAAATTAAGTGCAAAATGACACTCTGATATTAATAACAACTTGTTTGAAATGAAGTGGTGTAATTTTTATCTGTAATTATTTCTTCTCACGATAACAATATTAGCTGTTGGTGTTATGAACTTCAGTACACTCAGAGCTCACACCCTCCCGCACTGACACCTTTAATTACTATGTCTCTATGATGCATATTTCATAATCTTAACTGAGATTATTATACTTCAGTTTATTCAGAGGTAACTCGCACGCTAATGCTAAGTTATCTACTAATACGTATAATTTGTTTTCGTTTATTTCACATAAAAGTCGAGTGATTATAGCCACTGCTTCTTAAAAGGTTGTTAGTTCGCTTCCGGGGTACCACACCACACCAGAGTCGACCCAACTGTGAAAGGGTACCTGACTTTAGTTGGGGGTGGGGGTAGGGGTAGGGAGGGGGGAGTATGGGATAAGGATGAGGGTTGGGGGTGGGTGGTGGGGGGGGGGGAATAAAGACGATAGCTTAAAGTGTCAGCCATATTGCCAGCACTACAGTATGCTATATCCATACTGCCCTTTAACCCAAATGGCGCCTATTATTACTTTACTTTGTGAACTAAAATTCCCAAATCCATTACACTGCCACTCTGTTTGACGATAATGTATTTCAGGTAATTATATGACATATTTAGTGGACATTTATCATCATTTGTAATCTATATTAACTAAGACCTCAATTTAGTAGGAAGAGCTTACACCTCCACCTTATTTTCTCGGTAATATCAGCCGCAGGGGGGTGGGGGGGGAGAGCTCAGACATATTTCATGATAAAAATGAACTTAATGGTTCCTCCTGACGTTAAGTACCAGTTTATTACAGGCCATAGAGCTCGCAATTTTCTCTAACTCAAAATTTAGTTTTCTATGTGAGATTCATTGACCCCCCCCCCACCCCCCCCACGAAGGAGACAAAGAAAGAGCTACATTACCTGAGTGAGAGGAAAGACACAGTGTTAAATAATCACTTACACGACGAATAAATGAAAAAGTTCCTATGATGTTGATTCAGGTAAGGGAATGTTTGTGTCATTGGTGATGTTACCTCGTTGACACAAAGAGCATAGCTTATGTTTATCTATAGCAGACAGGATGCAATTATGTTTTATTTATCTCAATGACACTTCAACCTAATGTAAAGTATCAGAATTCAGGGATTAAGTTTTTCTCACTTAACACAGCAGTGTGGCGGTGCAAGTGTCCCCGATCCTCTGTCCAGGGCCCACACAGACCCCTCCCCCCTCCCTTTCGTCTGCGCCTCCTGTAGTTTTTGTTACGGCTCCCCAGACATACGGGAGCCAACTATACACTTCACACTATACACACACCATGGAGCTACATCACTACACACTATACACACACCATGGTGCTACATCACTACACACTATACACACACCATGGTGCTACATCACTACACACTATACACACACCATGGTGCTACATCACTACACACTATACACACACCATGGCGCTACATCACTACACACTATACACACACCATGGCGCTACATCACTACACACTATACACACACCATGGCGCTTCATCACTGTACACTATACACACACCATGAGCTTCATCTGGTACCACAACAACTACCATTGATGAAGGACGAGCGTTAGGTTAGGTTAGGTTAGGTTAGGTTAGGTTTAGGGAAGACAATCTCGGTGGTGTTGTGATATAATGACAAGGAGGCTTTAGAAGAAGAAAGCTTTTAGAGCGGATGACAAATGTTGCCACTCAGTCAATCAGATCAAGTGCTTCTGAGTGTCGGCCAGAAGCCACCAGTCTCTCTCTCTCCAGGATCTCGACTTTCTCTTTCATTCGTCGGAATTTCTCTTCAAGGAAAATCATTAAATATCTAATACGTTATATTACACTCGACGTGCATACAAACACCGAACGTAATACTAGACAGAAAGTGACGCCAGACAGAAAGTGACGCCAGACAGAACGTGAAGCCAGACAGAAAGTGACGCCAGACAGAAAGTGACGCCAGACAGAACGTGAAGCCAGACAGAAAGTGACGCCAGACAGAAAGTGACGCCAGACAGAACGTGACGCCAGACAGAAAGTGACACCAGACAGAACGTGACGCCAGACAGAAAGTGAAGCCAGACAGAAAGTGACGCCAGACAGAACGTGACGCCAGACAGGAAGTGACGCCAGACAGAACGTGACGCCAGACACAGAATGTATTGTCATCACTATAATGGAAGGTGAGAATGACATCCATTTATTACGATATAAAAAACACAAACAAACACAAGGAATGAGATGATAAATAAATAAAAACATTAAAAAACAAATATATCATTCCTTCTCCACCCTTCCTCTTTCTCTGCCTCTCCCTCTCTCTCTCCCTCACCTCACCCTCTCCTCTCACCCCTCCTTCACCCTCTCAACCTCTTTCCTCACCTCTCACACATCATCCTCCCTCCTCCTCCTCCCCTCATCTCCCCCACCTTCCTCACCTCTCTCTCTCCCCCCACCTTCCCTCCCGTCCTTTTGCCTCTTAGCAAAGAAACAATGAAAACGCAAAAGGGTCGTAAACCCCCCTCCCCCCTCTCTCTCTCTCTCAGGGTAAGTTTTAGGATAGGTTAGGTTAGGTTAGGTTAGGTTAGGTTAGGTTAGGTTAGGTTAGGTAAGCAAAGAGAAAAACATAAGCAGAGTGGTGAGAACTTATATGATAAAACACAATACAAAAAGAATAAAACATTCATTTTCATAATAATAATACAAAGGCAAAACATGGCAATCAACGAGACAGACAGACAGGCGGAAAGAGACAGACTAGCAACACGAAGCAGACAACGGATAAATCAGGTTACGGGAAATGGGAAAAAAATAATAATGCTTCAGAGTTTTTTACTTTAGGGATTAACTTCAGTGTTACGTAAATAGAAAGATAGACAGACAGACAGACAGACAGGTAGATAGATAGATAGATAGATAGATAGACAGGTAGAAAAACAGGTAGATGGACAGAAAGACGGATATGTAGACAGATAAAGACAGACACAGATCGATGGGTAGATAAGCGAATAGATAAACAGATCAATGGATAGGTAAAAAAAAATAGACAGGCAAAAAATAAACAGACAGACGATAAGTAAATAGACAGATAGATGGCAAGACAGGCAGACACACAGACAGATCGGTAAACACATAGAGTAAAGACAATCAGATAGACAGCAATTAAACAGATAGTCAATGAAACAGACAGACAGACAGACAGACAGAATGCTTTAGACGTACGACCAGGAACCCATGATGAAAAATGATTAATTGCTTCATAAATATGGACAAAAAGCCTCATTTTCACAAGAGCGTAGCTTTGGGTACGCTCATAAACAGACAGACAGACAGATAAAGACAGACAGACTGAAATGTAAACTCACCATTAGGATGAGTGAATATCATAATATAAAGCTGCATAATATTAACTGAAAGAAATGAGGAAAAAAAACTGTAATACCGCACACAGACAGACAGACA